TTTCTCACTAACTTTAAAATGATCGGCTAGCAGGGTTCGTGTCATTGCGGTACCAGAACTTCATATGACTATAAGGCAGTCTCAGCAAGACGCGCTCTGTCTACGATCCTGATTAAAGTGAGAATGCCCCTCCTTTAATGCATATTAACGATCGAGAAAACAACATTATAGTTGACTTTTCGATATGCCATAGGCCCTCACCTCCTCCCAAGAAGAGATAAATGACTCATACATATAATGAACGAAAGATCTTGGAGAAGTATTGTGATAAATATAAAGTAGAATGGAGAAAATGATTTTCTTTATTTGGATGGTTTAAACAGGAAAGATTCTGTCAAATAAGATTAGAGAACTGACAGGTCATTCAGTCAAACCTCAGAACAAAAAATGGGGATTATCGTTTTTGAAGGTTTCGCCGTGACCATATGGTTCAGTTTCAGAATTGTTTTATACGTCAGTGGAGAATGACACACTGGTAATTCCCTCCAATTATATTGGTCAAAGTCAAATAAAGGAGAGGCCCTATAAAATTGCATTCATTCCAACCATTGAATTTTAATGATCTCAATACATCTCAGTGGGAGTCTTCATTGGCGAACGAAATACCGTCAGTGATTCAACCAAGATGCATATTCAGAGAGAAATGACGAGGCCAAGGGAAGGAGCTTTCGAACACTTCTGACTCATTACTGCCCGTTGTTTCCCTCCAGGTTTTCGTCATAAAATCACGGCGGGATCTAAGGTCGGGAGTTTGCAGCGTAGCAAAACGAACGCTTAAGTTCAAGCCGTAAACGCTTATGTTGACATTACGCAAATTTGGCGCCGTTATGTCCCATGCACCGCAAGCAGTAAATGATCACAACTAGACGCTATGAAGCTGATTCACGACACTGCCGTACTGAAGCTTTGAGTCAACTGCACAGTCACAAGTGCCCATCAGTTTAATCGCTGTCAGAAATATTAAAAGGCCCTGCCAGAAACGCAGTGTTGACATTTTCGCCTTTACCTCGGTCATCGTTCTGTTGCTGTGTTCAGCGGGCGGCAAGGCTGTACACTCTTTGCGACTCGGGCTGCTCACCATTCTATGTTCGCCTTGCCAATGAAGGTCGCCTGCCGTTTGGCAGTGTATTTTCTGTTTCAACAGTTAGTTTTTACCAAGATTTTAAAGGCGGATTCATCAACAGGCTCTCCTTATGAAAAGTACGGCATCTCAGAAGCTCGTCTGAGTTCGTACACGATAAACAACGGCGGTTGGCTAGAAGTAAGGACAGCAGGTGCGAGTGGTAATTACTGGCAAAAGGTTTGTGCCAACTCTGATCCGTTAATATTAAAGGCCATAGCAAGTTCCCTCTGCGCCACTTACAAATATCCGGCTTATACGATTCATAAAGGACTCGAATATTCATGCCTGCGTATCAGCTGCCTCAACGATAACGCTGGCATTTGTGTTGCTGAGCGTTCAATCAGCGAGGAAGCGCTATCAGTGGCCATCTGTTATTTCGGACCTGATCCGTTGGGTATCATACAGTCGTCACCGCAATCGTCGGTGTCAAGCACCAACTGCGATTTTGAGATGGGAGACACGTGCGGTTGGAACTTGACCAAGTGGACACTGTCTACAGGACACCAAGTGGACAACACCCTGCTGACTACCGCTGGTCATTACGTGGAACCACGATGTGTGGACGGAGACATAGCAGAAATGTTGAGTCCAAATTGGATTGGATGCAGCAAGCAGCAGCAAACCTTTTGTCTTCAGATGTCGGCCAGAGTCCATGGCAGGCCTGATTTGCTTACAGTTTTGACCGTCTATGAAAACAGATCAGAATCTGGATATGTGTACGACTTAAATAGAGACGTTTCATGGAGTATGGTGGCGTTCACCGTAATAACGGAGGGAAAGTTCAAGATCAAAATTTTGCAGAGTTGCACAGTTCGCGGGTTTTTCTTCATTGACAACATCCATATTTCTGAAGGAGAATGTCCTCATTTAGTGACAAGCATGTGCTATGGTAAAAGTCAGTTTTTCAGTGAAAACAAAACCTGTGCTTGTCCGCCAAACAGGTATGGTCGTTTCTGTGAAATCACTCAATGCCCTCGTGATGAGCCTTTGTGCATGTGCCATTTTGACCAGGACAGAAAGACAGGCCACAATCAAATGATTATCATCCTCGCTGTCGTCTTTTTTACTTTGTTCCTTCTTGCGCTCGCAATTGTTGTTGTTGCTTGTCTTTACAGATACAAGAAAGAAGCTGGTCGTCTAAACCTCGTTCAATACCATAACTAACAGATCGAAAATTGAACATCTGATTTTCTCATTTACTCGTTCTTATGTGATTTACGGCATTTCTAATTTGTTGTACCAACTTTCGTCAAATAAACATGTCCTCATACGAAAAGCAAATATGCAAAATTGGACAGCTTTTGATGCAAGAAATGACAATTACTAGCCAAAAGTCCATCAGCTCTACTGATCCTGCGACTTTCTTCAGAACTGGAATGATGTTGGAAACGAACTACGCAGTAGGAACTGCAAATAGCAGTTATATATTTCTGTAAACAGAGGGCCCAATTCATTGATACAATGTCTCAACATTGCAGACAC